ATCCCCCGTCTTTGAGTCTCCAGTGTGCACGCAGTGCGGCCATGTCCTGAGAGGCCGGGTGACACATCATCTGTTCAAAAAGCACCATGTGCGGTGCAGCCAAGAAGATATTGATGCAGCCATGGCACTCCTGCGCCCGCTGCAGCCCGAGGAGCCGCCGATCGACCTTGGGGCAGAATCTGAGCCGCGTACGCCTATCGAAGGCATCCCCATTCTGGACGGTGTGGGTTGCCCCTTGTGTCAGGCATGCTTCACGACAAAAGGCAGTCTGTGGAATCACATCGTAGCTGAGCATCCCGACGAACCAGAGGCCAAGCAGCCGCCTCGACGAGTCAAGCTGCAAAAGCCGCTGCGCGGTGCTGGAGCCCGCTGTGTCGAGGTCATTGTGGAGGAAAGCCACGACGCCTCGGCAGCCGATGTCAGCGAGAACGAAGAGGAGCTCGAGGAGCAGCAGCGGTTCAAGCAGTTTATCTCAAGCACCCAGGCCATGGCCTCGGAGGCTGAGGATAAGCGATGCCCGCACGGCGTTCACCAGATGCATCCGTTCTACGACAGCGTGGGCATGACGCTGGTCATTAACGAGCTGAAGCCAGAGCGCATGGTCGAACTGGGCCACAACACACCGTCGGCACTCCTCGAGTCGGGCATGCACGAGCTGTTCTGGTCGGCCTACGAGCAGCTCTCGGATCAGGGCCTGGCCGCCGCTGCGGTGACGCGTCTGTTTGACGACAATGAAGGGCAGTATCAGCATCGCCCCATGCGGCAAGTACAGCCGCGAACCGTCAGCAGGTACCTGAGTCTTGGAACACGCCTGGTCCAATTTTTGCTGCTGCTGGAGGCCATGCCAGCCCCCGATCCGTCCAGCTTTCTGGGCCAGGTGCTTGCCAGCCGTGGCCCTGCGGTAATCAATGCCACCGCGGCTCTGAGTGCGGGCCTGAACGCTGAAATGACCAAGAAAGAGCTGGTCGAGCCCCTGACGTCTCTGTGGCTGGCCCTGGTGGAGGTGGAGCTGAGCCTCTTTGACAACGACAAGGTGCACTTTGTCAACGTCTTCTTATTGTGCACGGCCGTGTCCAAAGGAAGCGGCATCCTGCAAGACATCAGGCAGTGGACCACGACGCCCGCTGGACTGCTGTACGTTTTCAAATTGTTCCTGCTTCGCCGTGGCAAGAATGAGTCGTGGTCAGTGGCTAACGAGTTGAGGCCGTATATGCAGCCCGGGCGATTGGTGCACTTCTTAAGCCAGCGCATGAGCATGGCACGAACAGCGAGCATGGCCGAGGGGCAGGCTGGAGTCGACGTCGATATCCGAGCCGATGGCGACGTGACGGACGAGACGCTGCGCA